TGTGAATGTAAACTTGCAACACTCCTGCTGCATGCTGTCATCAAGAAGTGCCAGGTGGTCTGTGTGGGAGGTCTCCTCTGCCAGAAAGCAAATGTCTGTAGTTGGGAATGCTGAGCAAGTAGAAACTAAGTCAATGTTAGGACATCCCATAGGATAGAGAACTGCCAAAGAAGCTTCCTAAGTGTCAAAGCTTCTTTGCTGTCCTTCACACTATTTGCCAAAAAGCTGCAATATTCTGTCCATGAATGAGTAGGTCCTGTATGTTTTGACATTAAAAATAGGGAGATTTTTTTTTTTCTTTTCCCAATTCTTTTCCAGGGTAAACGTGTCCTCCCCTCCTTTACTGAAGGATCCTGTGCTGAATGCCATTGGCAGAAAGTATAACAAGACAGCTGCACAGGTTGCTTTGCGTTTCAGCATCCAGCGAGGGGTGGTGGTCATCCCAAAAAGCTTCAATCCACAACGCATCAAAGAGAATTTCCAGGTACATTTGCACTGTAATAGTGCACACATGAATCCATTTGCATTGTCTTGGCTCCTGAGGAAGGCAGTTTTCATATTTTCTTCCACAGACACAAAGCTTGACCAATGTCAAGCTTTGCCACATTCAATTATTTTTCTCCCCGTCACTTCATGGTACAAAGGTATGACAATAACAGAAGAATAGAGAAGAAATTTTGGTGCCTTGTAATCCTCTGAAGTGGCTAAAGTTCCAGCTGGCAGTGTTCCCCAGAGTACCCATTGCTGCACTGAACAGCACAAGGGAGATGAAGTAATTTGGTAGGTCAGCAGACCAACATTGTTGGCAGTAGGTGTTCAGGGATGACTGATTTTTTCTGCCCCATCTTCTGCCCCAGTTTGTTGGTTGAAGGGAAGGTGCTGCATATGGGTGTGCCAGGAATGCTCATAATACTCCACCAGAAAGCAGATGGCTTGACCACCACCACCACCCTAAATAAGATGAACATTTTTTACCTGTATCCCTTGCAGCACTCAGTACTCCCACTGCTCTACACTTTCCCTGCCAATGTATTACCTCTAAAGCCAATGGCCTGGTACTTACCAGACTGTCTTTCTCTTATTGGAAGAGTGTAATTGAACGTGACTGAACTTATTCATGTCCTCAAGACTTCCCTATAAACACAAGGAAGTGTAGATTTGGGGGAGAGGAGATCGTGCAGGGGGGAAAGAAGGGGAAGATTTTTTCTGGACTTCTGAAACATGGAACATATTAATATTGCCTGTGACAAGAACTGTTAACTTACTCCTAACTTCTCCTTCCATTAGATCTTTGACTTCTCCCTCACTGACGAAGAGATGAAGGAAATTGCAGCACTGAACAAAAACGTTCGTTATGTGGAACTTTTAATGTAAGTCCAGGAGGAATCCTGTATCCTCCCAGAACGCTCGTGTCTTTTCAGAGATATTTTTTTTTAATCACTTTTAAGATAAGGTTGCCTACACAAAAATGAATATTAAAGTAAAACTTGGATATAGGAGCTTTCATGCAGCCCAAATAGACACCTGAGCCATTTGCAAAGAAGTGTGCAACATGTGCTTACAACTCAGATGTTAAATGCCCACCTAGAAGATGACTGTATCTGGCTACTCCACCTCTGCACCACCTCCTTAAGCACCTTCCACTATATGTTGTGATGTCTAAATACCAGTGTTGATAACAGAGCTTACATTCAAATAAGAACACTTACTTGTCTTTCCCCTCCTTCACACCTTCCCTCTCAGTGCTTAGCGAGTCATGTTGTTGCTCAAGTGCTACTGCTTATGGATTACAACCCTAGTGTCTCCAGAGGCAATTTGTCCCAAAATGACATGCAGAAGAATAATTAAGAGCAATCCTATAAGAAACCACAGGACTAGTTTAAGGAGAGCTCTGTTCCATCTCCCTTAATAGGGTTTGGTCAGAACATAATTTGCCTAACCAACTTCCTCTTAAAACCACAGACAATCAGAAATTGTTTTGGCCTTCCCTGAGGCCAACTTCTTCAGCAACCTCCCTTGCCTGCTGCCATGTTGAGTTCTACCTTCTTATATGGAAAGCACAAAGCCATGCAGCTTGTCTGACCGCTAGACCACTTCCTCATTTATCTTTTCTGAGAGTTAACAAGGCTTGGTCTCTTGATGTTTGGGATCTAAAGCTTAAAACCCAACACGATTTTTCTTCACCTGAAGGCTGCACTACCCAAGAAGGCTCAGGCTGACCCAACATCTCCTCCGGAGAATGAGGCCATTTGTTTTCCCTTCAACTCAAGAGCATCTACAATTTATGGCCAAACTCTATGCTTCCCCCTTTTCAGGGCACTCAGTGTGTAGCCAAAGGGATTCTTTTCCATGCGTTTCTCCTGTTACCTTGGATTATCTGCATCTTGCCAAACTGTAGTGTGCTCAAGCACTAATGATAATGAAAAGCAGGACAGCTGCATCAATAGCACTCTAAAATGTTGACTATCACTCAAAAGGTCGGGGGAATTTTGCAAAGGAACAAATAAACCACTTACTGTGCTGACTAAATATGATAGGAAATATGAACAAAGTTAAGAGCATCATAATGGAGTTCATCCTTCACATTTAAGCTCAGCAGTGTGCTCTGAAGCTTTAGCTTCTTAAAACAGCCTTCCATCAATTAGCAGTATTCAGTTCCAGAAGGCTTCTCACAAGAGGCCTAGCAGATTCTTACACGTGTTTTGGTACTGGAAATTGTTTTTTCATAGCCAAGTTGAGCTATAGCATCATTTAAACTTTGTTAGTGAGCATATACATAAGAAGTAACCTTGGTGCAAATGCGAGAGCTTTTCCAGAAGCAAAATTAAAGAATGTAAATGCCCACAGGATAACTTTCTAGGCTACTAATCCAAAACTAATAAATGAAATGTTTTGCTTCATTAGACTAAGTTTAGTCATCAAAGGCCACTGAGGACAAGGAAAGCAGGATGTATGGGATGGACATTGACAGCTCCATTTATTACACAAGTGCCATGTTCGGGGAAAATGCTTAAATACAGTCTGGCCTCAACTTAAAAAGTAACTTCTTGGAAAAATGATGTTGACATGTAAGGAGCAAGTAAACCCATACCTACCTGCAAGTGTGTTCTTGCACTGAAGTGCCTGGAGTTGGCACTGCAACAGATGAACTGATCTACTAGTCTAGAGGGATGTCTTATTTTATGCAACAACAGGTATCTGAAAGGTTAAGCCATCATACAGAGAGACTTCTGGTTAGCCAACTTTGTGGAAAACCTTCCACTGCTGCAATGCAAATGTCAGGGAATAGAAAAGTCCAGATTTCCTGTGGTTATTCCAGTTATCAGTTGTTGTGAGTACATCATCCGAATCTGTTGTTCTGATGATATAAGCCCATAGAAACATAATATTGCATTAATTGGAATGAGCTAGCAAGTTAAACATCTGAGCACAAAACTGCTATTTTTCTGGAGTACTCATATTTTTTCAAGAACTCCGTCTGAAATGGTTTCTTCTTTTGGGAAATCTAAAAGTACTGTGCTGGCAAGTTTTACGGTAATCTGTCTGCTGGATTTATCTTGTACTCCAAGTCTCTGCTATGAACATTCTTCTTTACCATTTATTCCAAGCTACGTTATCTCCTTTGGGTGAATCATTTTGGTACACAAGAAGACTCAGACCTTTGAACATGTGTGATCTGATTAGAAAGCATGCTCCATAGATAGAAAGTATAGATTATGACACTGATGGCTTAGAGATTGTCAAATTATACCAAAACCAAACATACCAAAGTGTTGTGGCTTGTTTTTTTGAACCATCTCAATCTGTTAATGTGTAAACACTTCAGCTTGGCTGAATATCAGAATGAAATGTTTTGACATAACCAATTCAAAATGTTTGATGTATTCCAGTCAGTTAGCTTCAATATTGTGAAATGTATCCTTCCCAAATTGGAACGATTCACAGCTGGGATAAACGCCAGTATTTGTTGTGCTGTGCTGTAAGGCAAGGCAGCCAGCTGCCATGGTGCACCTGAGAGAGTTCTTCAGAAATTCTTGGTTTTGCTAATGGAAAATTTTTGTCAAGCCAGGACTTGTGGTTTAGCACCATCTTTTTTTTTTTTTTTTAAAAAAAAAAAAAAAAAAAAAAAAAAAAAAACACCACACACACCCCACACAACACAACCCACATGTAATCAACACTCTACCATTAATGGACAATGAGTGCTACTTTTCACCTGCAGTTTATCCTTGGAAATTTCCTCTTGCCTTTTATAATGCTCCTGAATCATGCATCTTCCTTGAGTTTTTAAAACCACAGCCTGAAGCATCTCTGCCTTTGGTAACATGCAGCTATGAACATCCCTTTCTTTCCTGAATTGTATCACCCCAAAGCTTCTTTGTAAGCTGTACATCACTGGTGCTATTAACCTGGCAGCACATCTACCCCTTGGCTAAGCTAGTGGGTTTTAGCTGGATACGGCGGCCACTTGGAGAAAGGACCAACCAGACCTAGACCTGTTTGTGCCAGTTCTATGTGTACAAACCAAAGCAGTACAGTCTGGTGTCTCCACCTTCACTCTAACTATAGTCTTTTTATCTGAGGGTATTTCTGGACATCTGAACAAAGTCATCCTCCCATTCCACAACATGCACATAACGGGAACATACCCCTTCCCTACAACACTTCCAGTAACATGAGTTAAATCCACAAATAGAGTAAGAATGACTAACCTCCACACTCTTGTTGTTTCTTGCTCCATCTGTCCTTAAGGCACATGATCTGTAGACCTGAAAAAAAGTGGTTCTTCACTGTCCTCTCTATAACTGCATGGTTTTACTTCCTGCAGGGAAGATTATTCAGAGCAAACAGCATCTGAATCAGCAGAATAGCCTTCCGTGAAGGCTGCCTATTTTGTGCAGGAAACAGAAGAGGTTTGCTTGGCACAACACAACTGCCTGAGTGATGATATAACCTGCTTCACCTGAGAAACTTACTTGTTCAATCTGACCTCTCCACAGGTGGCGTGACCATCCAGAGTACCCCTTCAACGATGAATACTGAAAACAAAGTGTGTCCAGGCAGGTTCCTAACTCAGCGTCATTACACTTGGTTGAAAGAGACCCAACGTTTGGTGCTTTGGTTTTACGGGAGACTGTTCAGATCAGCATTAAAAACATGAAATTTACCTCTTGTTGTCTTGTCAGTTTGTTATTGCCACTGAAGAGCATGCCTATTTAAGCTGATGAGTCTAGGGTTTTGGCTTAAGAGACTTCAGCTCCATAAGCATCTAAGTTTCAAAATTGATAATTGATAAAATTGAGTATTTCTATTGAAAACAGGCTCACTCATGCAAGCCAAACCATCTTCAGTCAATGGCATGTTCAGCATTGAATTTGAAATGAGAATTTTTGCCTCAGTAGATGTAAAGTGGTATTGTTTTGTTTCACAACTCAAGTGAAATTTAGAAATAGGGAACTAACTGGATTTTAAGAGTGTGTGCATATAAATGTCCATTACTGCATGGAGTGAAGCCTGTTTTACTCTGACCAGTGTATTTGCTGGTACCTGTACAACTACTTCATGCCCTAACACAGCATAAGCATGTTCACATCCTCTCTACCTCAGCGAAGCACAGACCAGTCTCTGGCTCTACATTTGAGCTGCTATACAAGAACGGTATTGAATAGTGTTGTGTGACTATAGCCATCCTGGAGCTAGCAGTATTGTAGTTACTTAGCAAGAGCCTCATCTCCTGAAGACAAAAATCCCTTGAACTTCCCTGTTCCACAACCCGGTTCACCCAAGAAAATTTCTGTTCACTTAGTTCTTACAGTCTTTTGTATTAACTTCTGGCCAAGACAATTCATAATTAGTAAACTGAGTTTTAAAGGAGGAATAATTTGTCTTTGTTAAATACCACTTTCTACCATGCTTTGAGATTGCAGAGCACTGTAAGGTCCAAGAAATGGGTAGGAGTAAGGTAGAAGAAGACAGGCTGAAGCTTGAGCATTTCCTTCAATCTTGTCCTCAGCTTTCTGTAACAAAAGGGGAAAAGCACGGACACCAGTGTAAGAAAGACTAACCCTACAGCATGAATCTCTTTCACAGCATATTGCTAAACTACTTTAGCAGCTTATAAATCTGTCAGCCCATGTCCTCATCTGCAGAAGGCTACTTTCCCTCCCTCCCACGCTCAGGCACTCCAGTTTCCTGCTGCAGGAGAAGGTACACTGGAGAAGAAACTAAACCATACAGAGAAAGATTAGTTCATGTACTAAAACCTATGTGCTGCAGGAAAAGTAGGTCATAAATGATCTTCACTCTATATCATCTGCTTTTATTTGTTACCGTTGATGTTCATTATCCCTGGAGTGTCTAGAATAAGAAAAGCACCAGAGCAGATAACCCATGGAGACACTTCTGTTGGGACAGGGCATGCGCCTCAGAGTTGAGGCAAAGAGGTACAGGGGTAACCACTTCACAGGAGGAGCAGGCAAGGCTCCCAGGTGGACTCGCTTAATCCCAGCCCTGGACGAGCTCCATGGGCACCTCTAGAGAAGCCAGATCCCGCCAGAAGGGGATGGCTTTTGTGCAGCATTTATGAATCCATTAATGAAGCTGTGGCCATGAAGACATGTTCTGTTTGCTGAGGTTATCCAAGGGCAATTCCCGTTTTATTCTATTACACACTTTGACCAAAAACCTGGACAAAATCCAAGTCTAAAAATCTGGGTGCCGGAGAGGGGCACAGTCACCACCATACCCAACATGTTATTCCAGTAGCTTCATAAGCACAGGCTTTAAATAGAGCTACCAGGGCTCAGCAGCTACACAGTAGCACTGTACAAGCTTTTGCACTGTAACTTGACCAGGCGCAGGTCGCTGGCCACAGATGAAATTCAGGTCAGCTTTGACAAAGCTCTCATTTTGTATACTGCAAATGTCAACTAGTGCCCATCTTAAATGCTCATACCAGCTTCTTCTCAGCAATCTGCTCCTTCCAGACATTCCTCCCCCCCGAAACATTAGGCAGAGCCTGACATTGTAATAAATCAGAATCCCTTCATTTGACCTTGTAAACGTGAGTAAGATGATATGCTGAAGCCTCTCTAACAGGAAATACCCTATAATCAAGTCTTCAATCTGTACCAAGTTAACAGGCAGGATGGACTGTGAGAGCTCCTCTGGCCCAGGACATGCCTGCAAATCCCTTTCCCCGCTGCTCCCCCCGCCTCTAATTTTAATAGCGCTCTCCTCCTCTGCATTGTCTCATTTGAATCCAATGAAAAAGATTCAGCTTCTTCCCAGGGGCAAATGCTCCCATAGTTGTTTCCATCAGTTATGAAACTGCTACTGACGTCTAGCCTAGTTTTTCCCCTCGCTTTGCTCAGTTTCAGACCATTGCTCCCCATTGTTCTCCATCTTGCCATACAAATGAAAGACTTAGAGGAGGAAAAACAAATGGGCCTGCAGATAGGGGGCTTGGGAAACGTGTTCCACCAGCAGCTGCACAAAGAGATGGAAAAAAAACAAACCCCAGCCCCACGTCCGATCTGCTCCCATCTGGCAGGTTTCAGAGGCGCATTGAGCAGGTTGCCTGGTGTGAACCAGGTCGCTCCAAGCACTGCCTGCAGCCCTGCTCTAACGGGAAGGGCCAGGAGCAGGCAGAGGGGGCTCAAGCACCTCCTGCTGTAATGGCAGCTACATGTGCCAGGAGTAGACCAAGACCTGTACTGGGAGATCTCAGTTGCCACAGGTAAGCCAAGCAGTTTGGTACTCTTCCTGTAGCTGCAAAGTGAAATGAAATCCAGACCACAGAAGCTTGCCTCAACCATGCACAAGTGACTTTACAACATACAAGAACAACCCATACAATGTCTTGCACTTTTGCAACCCAAGAGCTGCTGGTCTAATCAGCAGAAAACCAAGTGGTACACTCGTGTCCACAGCAGAAAAACAGTTGCCACAAATGTGTGCTTGAGCCCGGGCTTCCCTGGCTGTCAGAGGAGGAAGCTTTCCCTAGTGTTACACAAGCTGAGGGCAGAGCCCAAGGCTTTTGCTGCTGCAGAATCTTGGCCCTTCCTCAGGCATGGGCACGTTCAAGTTTAATAGGTGAGGCAAAAAGAAAATGCTGCTGAGCAGTTACTGTGTCACACGGGGTTGCTGCCCAACTATACTACCTAGTTATAGGAACTCATTTCCTCATGGGACAGAGCTTCATCTTCCCCCAGACCAACTGCAAAAGGGCTCCATTTCAGAAGGGATTTCTACGTAGTTTTTCCTGATGCTGTGCAGCTGCCCCCAGGAGCTAGAGGAAAAACACTGAGAGGCAAAGTGGGATGGGCCCTGTGTATGTTTTACAACTTTACATTAAAGACTGCCCTTTGTGTTTATATCACATATTTTTGTACCACAAAGCTATCAAGAACTTTTACAAGGGTGTGAATTTCACCCTGTGGAGGGAAGGGTGAGTGCTGCGAGCCTACACCGTGCCATCAGCCAGAATCAGAGCAGCTTTTGGGTAAGCAGAATTGGACTCAGGGAGAAGGGAAGACAACACCTCCCATGCTTTTCATCTCTTACCCGCCGTTAAGGGCTAGGTGCTGTGGAGATGGATGCTCTGTAGTGAAAACAAGATCTGTTTTCTCCCAGCCAAAGTGTAGTGATAACCAAGGACAGGAAGTATGGCTTGCAAACATCAGGAGAGGTCACAAAAGACAACTCCTTAGGTTACACAGAGCAGATTCCTCACTTGATGATATTCCTCACTTCATTTTTTTAATCCAACAAACCTCAGAAGCTGCTTACTAACTTCCAGGCTGACAACGCATCCAACCTTTACCATATCCGTTGGACTTGCAAAGGAATTCAACAGAAGAGGGGCTGGTATTTTCCCAAATTCACATTACCCTATAACCAGAATCAGAGTCCATTCTTCAGTGTAGTTCATGAGCCACTTAAATAAACATGGAAACAAAGCTAGTGCTATAGAGACACGTAGAGGAAAAGAAAGCCTGGGATGTGCAAGACATGTTTCAGGTCTCTGTATCAGGTAGAGGGTAGACTCAGATCCCTCATATATTTTACAATAAACCTGACTCATGGCCTTAATAAGAGGCATGACCTTCCTCCTTGTGAGTAGCACTGAAGTTCCCTTGTTGCCATCCTTCAAATGTAAACACTTTGAAACAAACTGCTTTGGTACTTGCAAGACCCTCATCCCCTAATTTTCAGGCAGGGAGGAAGCTGTTGTTTCCATACATATTTTGCCCAGTTCTCAACAGGGCAAATTTTACAACCTAGAAGAAAGCACCAAGTTGAAGAAGAAAGTCAGTAAGAGAGTGACATGTTGGAATGAGATTCAACATGCTTATTTCACTTATGACCTAAACTGCAAACACATTTGATTTTTGGGGTGGGGCAATCAGCACACAGTTGGGTACTAGTGCAGTTTTTTGTTAATTGATTCTTAGCAGTGCCATATTTCAGCTCTTCCCAACATCCTACTACCCTGGAGCAGAAACCCCAGCTTATAATAAAGGACTTTGAGAGTGCAAAAACAAAAAAGTTCATTTTAATTTTTCAATGCCAGACAGACTCCTCAGGGAACCTTAACTCAACATGCATGAGCAATACTCACAACAGGACAACACATTGCAAATAAAATGCAAAGCAGAACCAAATGGAAAAAGAGGAGGCAGAGAAAGGGGTGGAAAGAAAGATGCATGAGTGTGTGAACACATATACATGGCACAGAGGGGCACTCAGTTTTTGCTCTGTAGACTGCAAAGCTACCAGGATGGCACCCTCAGATTAGTCCAGAGATCTCCAGTTCAGAGACCACCAAGCTGTTTGGCTCATGCCCTTGTGCTCACAGAATGGGTCTGTTTGGCATGAAAGACTTTGAGGCAATAAAACTGCTCTCAGAGAGCATGGCTGGAAGGTGAGGAGGGGAGGAGAACATCATAGCTCCCTTCCCTCAGCAGTCAGAGCACAGATAAGTGATGCAGCAAGGCATGTTCTAATCCTTATGGAGGCTTAAACCTACATGTCTCAACAGTTACCAAGCTGTACAGCCTTTTGAAAGGGATCTGTCTACAGTCACCCCACTGAATCTTTCAACTTTGCACAAGAAATTCATTAGGGCAAAAGTGGGAAAAACTTGGTAGCTAACAAACATAACATGTTTTCTTGAGAAGGAGGAAACTTGCGGTGCAATCCTCTCTCAGTTCTCTACTGACTGTAGAGCACTCCCACAGAACAAGAATCCCTTGTACTATGGCTCATTCCTATGTTATGCAAGTTGTTCTCTCTCTTCTGTTTCTTTTGGACACAGCACCAGTTATATTATCAGAGAGGATTCTGAGTCTTGGAAAAGATGAGGTAAATACCCCTTCCATCACAGTATGTGTAAATACAAGTCTTGGTTTTCTGCACATCTAGAGGTTATTACCACAGCAAAAGCAAAGCCTGTAGCATCACTTCCCAACACAGATACTACGGATCCAGATGAATTAAAGGCATCAATTTGCACATAGTAAATAAATGTCTCTTCCAGCATTCTATAGTCATTGGCTATTGAACTTGTTTAATTACCTTGGACTCCTCCAAACCTAATTCTTTGTACCTTCTTTCCAGCTAAGTGCATCCATCCTGACTCTGCTCTCCCAAGTTTCATTTTGCAATATTCATATTTTGCCCCAGTAACAAGTTCAATCAAACTTAACTGCCAAGCAAGACTCCCCCCCACATGCTGTCACTCCCTGTAAAGCTCTCTCAGCCACTTGTCCCCATTCTTATGGTTTCCTCTCACCCACCGAGGAAAAAGACCTCAGCGTCGTCTACCTCCAGGAAAAGGTCACTCACTCGAGCTCTTTCCCAGCTCTGTTAAAACTCAGCACTTAAAAAGAACATTGCAAGTGAAATATTTATTTCTTGTAGCTTTTGTCTTGGAAACATGGCTATGTTGTGCTAGATAATAAGACATACAAACCAAAACTATTTAGGAGAGAGAAAGCATGAGGAAACAACCTTGTACGTCTCTCAGTCATTTTGACCCTGTGAAGGATTATGAACCTTGCACGGAATAAAGGCAAGACTTGCCCCACAGAATACGGCTTCTGGCAGAGTCAAAACAGAAAAAGGGTAAAAACAGGAGTGGGGAAGCTAAAGAAGCCAGCTAAGAGCTACAGAGACTGGCTTGTTTAGGGTGGTGAGGAGAGAAGCAAGATCTTCATATTGCCAACTACATAATAAGGGATACGCATTCACCTCTGTATTTACAGCTTGTATCATGGTACAGGAATGAGGAACTATTCAGAGAAATCAAAGGGCATAAGATCAGTCAAGATATGACTTTTTAGCTATGCAGGGCTACTCTCTGGAACTCGTGGCTACAACCGTTAAAGGGTCAGATAAGGTTGTTGGAGTTTTAACCTAGCTGTTTGTATTATGGCCAGTGCATGATACCACTGTATCAGATACTGCCTAGCCAGCTGGACAGGCACGCTGTGGGAAGAGGAGAACTTTCCCACCTCGCCCTGCATGCTGTACGTAGGATTATATGACTGAAGACTCAAAGGAATTTGTCTGGGGCCAGGGCCACAGACTGAGGCTTAGTATTGCCCAGTTGCATCCAAGAAAAGCGCCTGTTTAACGAAGGTAACCCCAGTGCTGCAAGAGGAATACTAGAAAACAGAGGTATTTGGAGCTGTGCAGCCAGGAGGCTGAGTGTACTTATGACTGCAGAATCCTGCCCGCTGCAGAGGCCTGCTGCATGGTGCTGGCATGGGGCACATCAGCTTCCCCACGTGTCCAGGAGTGCCTCCACCACAGGCACACACACTCAGCACCTCGCTGACACCCAGGGCTCACAGGCAGAGAGCAGCACAGCAGCCTAAACCCAACACCCGCACAGCAGACATGGCCTGGCAGGGAGTCACCGGCGTCTAAACAGTAAAACAAAACACCTAAGCCCCCTGCATTAACTGGGCATCAGCTCGGTATTACCACAGCCTAATTGGTTGGCGTCAAGTAGATTATTTCAAAACCCAGAGCTATTTTTCCTCCAGCACACACCCAGTCCATGCTCAGAAACCACCACAGCACCCTGCATTGCAGGCCAACCTTCAAGCAAGAAGCAAAAGGGCTGCTGGATGTGCTGAGCAGGCCCACACCACTGCAGCAGGTTTGCTCCATCCAACACTTTCCCTTCCTCCTTCCATCCCCATGTCCCTACAAGTGCAAGGTGCACACAGTTTACCTGAGGGAACAAAAAGGTGCAGTGAAACCATCAGCCCTCAGTCTCAGCAGCTTGAACTGGAACCAGGACAAAAAACTAGGAAACAAACAGGCCTCCCAGGCCCCTGCATTTAGGAGACCCAGAGGCTACAGAGAGCTTATGTGCTGCTAATTTAAGAAGTCACAGGTGCAGCTATTCTCAGTTACCCTGACCTGACAGGGGAAGAGGTAGGAAAAAGCCCCAGAGCAAATCCTCAGTGTTGGCTGGGGCTCAAGCTGTGAGGTAAACCAGTGAACCTGGGAAAGTGAAAGACCATATATGCGTTATTGTCTTTTGACTAACTTTTTTATTTTCCTTATGTATGAAATTTATCTCAACTGTTTCTGGGTCATCAGTCTGCAGATCTACCTTAGTCATCCAGCAGGGGTGTTCACAGAAGAATAAATAAATGAATCACGCTCTGTGCAGGCATTGCTGTGAAATAACTCTCCTTCCCTACTTTCCCATCCTTCCCAAGTGGAGGAAGCTGAAACAGCGTGCTTTGGTCACTGAGCATTTCCCAGGGCAGCTTTGTTCTGCACAGCTGTGCTGCTGCCTGCACCTTGGGGTAGGCTCACTCTGAGGGTCTGTATTGGCCTCAGTGCTTGGCCAGGGCCCTGGTTGTGTCCCTGTGGCACCAGGAGACAGAGGACAAATCCGTGCCCATAGGGGCGGCACAGAGGAGGCACACCTCACACACTTTCCCTGCTTCTGGGTATGGGATGTATTCGCATTTGCAAGCTTTCTTAGATCTTCAGAATGAAAGCAGGCAAATAAGAAAAGGCAAAAAGAGAAGTTTGAGATAAATAATTTAACATTACAAATTCCTTCCACATATAGACCTGAGGGGCTTGAACCCATGGTCTGCACTGGGCTGCTTAGGTGTGATTTTGGAAATCACCCCACCAATGTAGAGCAATAGGCAGAAGGATGGTGCATTACATGTGGCCTGATTTGCAGGGTGGAGGCTTTGGATGGTACAGTGCCAACCACCACAGCACCAGCCTTTGGTCCAGCAACATTTGTGTCTCTAAGACAGCAGCTGGGGCTCTGGTAGGCAACAGGACCTCAGAGGGGCTGCAAAGGGCAGGAGAGTCAGAAGAAAGCTCAGAGAGATGTAAGCCTCAGTCTATTTCCACCATGAATTATACACCAAAGTTTTGGTTGTAGGAAGGTTCTTGTTTCCAATTTACCTCTCTCCTTGAGAAAAGCATGGAGGTTTTCCTTCTGAAAATTTGGAGAGGTGGGCATTTGGTCTTTTGAAACAGTGAAAAGAACAAAAGTAATTTCCACTACCCTTTAACCAACTCCCTTCTCTGCAGTCATTAAGCAGAGCATTAGGCAAGACTACGGAAACCCTTGTTTTTCATCTCTTTCCTCCCTAAAGAAGGCTATAGCAAGGTAAGGATCCATCTCTCTCATCCCAAGCAGTAAGTGATAAGACAAGAAAAATGGCCTTAAGTTGCACCAGGGGAGGTATAATTTGGGTATTAGGAAAAATTTCTTCACTGAAGGAGTTGTGAAGCATTGAAACAGGCTGCCTGAGGAAGTAGCTGAATTACCATCCTTGGAAGTTTTAAAAAAACGTGTAGAGGTAGAGCTTAGTGACATGGTTTTATGGTGGTCTTGGCAGTGCTAGGTTAAAGGTTGGACTAGATGATCTTAGAGGTCTTTTCCAACCTAAATGATTCTATAAAAGATTTGATCTCCTTCACGTTTTTGAAGGAAGTGTCCTAGCTCAATGTTTCAGACCTGCTAAATCCATGTTCCTATGGCTTCTCTAGGTTGTGCGGTGTGTTTAGACAACAGTCTCTGCTGGACAACTCTCACAGCCTTCTTAGCAATTGCATTCAGCACTTCAATTCACTCTCAGGGTTAAAGTTTGCTTGTCTTTAACTGCCTACTGTTTATAACAGGAAACCTAAAGAGCACTCCCAGGATCCTATGTACAATTGCTCTTGCCTATTTATCACTACTATGGTACACGAAGATGGGACTTTCCACCCGCCTGGGGAACACCAAACTGCACTCTAATTTCCCGAAGACTATCCCAAAGACTTCTGGGATTAGTCCCCCTTCCAAGCTGCCCCTTTGTTGAAAGCCCTTGACAGAGCAGAATAGATTTATGTGCAAAGTGACCTCATTTTTTTTTCTTTCATTCCACTGATTTTTTTTTTTCTTTTCCAGTACCTTAAGCACTCATCATTAAAAGTTGAATTTTGCTAGTTTCTGAGTGCAATGTTCAGTATGAGACTTCTGTGAATAAAATACTGCAGATCATGTCTCTGAACAAGCTCTGAGAAGAGCTAGTTCTCACGACTTGCCTATAGTTACTTTTCTGCATTTCTAGTAATTCACGGAATAAAATTACTTGTCCTTCTGTACTTCAATAAAACTTTCCTTTTCCAAACAAGGTGTAGAGGCCGTTGTTATGTTGTTACAGCTCCACAGAAGACTTTTTTTTTCTCCAGAGGAAAATTACTGCTATGGAAAATTTTCAGCTTTGGTAATACATGTACAATAAAGTTATAAAAGTTTATTTCTTTATGTATGTTCTTATACATAGATTTACCATTCTGTTTATCACTTCATTTATCCATATTTCTCCTCTGGGAGTTTATGTTGCCTTTGAATAGAAAGGGCAGTGCATTTGCCTGGAGACTTGGTATTCTCTAATGTTGTCATTCCCCATTAAGCAGATTGTCGGGATATTAATTAATAGTACAATTCTAGAAAGTTTAAAAAAAATAAAAATCAGATAACATCTAAAAGTCCATGAATCCCTATGTATAACAAACATGCCTAACAGCATAAAGTAAGCAGTCATCTATCTGCTCAAGTAATCAAATGGAACAAAAGACAGCTAGCCATAACACATCCAGTCTTATTTACTAGCTTCTTTTCCTGATCCCAGCCATACATACAAATATATTGCTAACTCTGAGTGATTCATTTTGCCAGTGTGAGAATAGCCAAACACTGTCACGCCCCTGCAAGGCTCTCAGGGCCACAGCCAACAGCAGTGCTCTGCCTGCACCAACCACTGCGTACTATCTGTCCCCTCCTCAGCCACTTCTGCATCGCTGGCACTCACAGGTCCCCATGGGTTTCCAAGATCTGCTAATAAATGCATCTCTATGTAGACAGCAGGTTAAAGTTGAGCTTGGGTGGGACAGATGTGCTCCCAAAAATTGGTAAAGTGGCCCCCAGACTAGTCTGTGGTGGTTAGAAAGATGAGGTGTAAAGTCATGATCCTGCCAAACACTTCGAAAGTCATTGTTTCAGAAGATGTCCATAGTCCCTATAATTTCCTAGAGTCTTTAGTGCCTGTGGATGATATCTTGGATGTGTAATTAGGTTTTCCAGATTGCTGTGCCAGCTGCTATTTTTTTTCCTCCATTGAGAGGCTGAGTGCTTTGTGCAACAGCCAGGGAATGCTGTTTTAAAGGAAATGGTTGAAAATTGTCTCGGAAGTGCTTTCTGTCAATAAATCATGGTAGGAGAGGAAGAAACACCTAATAAACGTTTTGTGATCTATGGTAAAAATACAGAAAATAGTCTGGTCAGGACTGTAGGAGGCCATCCAACTCCAAGGCGAAGCAACTGCATCATCTGACAGACATTCTTAAAGACTGTCCTGAAAGGGATCCTCACCTTCCTCAGCGATCTATAACAGGACTGAATTGGTACAAAGCGTTTTGCTGAAGTCTAAACCAAATCTTCCCTTGCTGACACTCACAGCCTCTGCCTCTTCCTCTGCCCAGCACAGGCTCTGCCTCCTGGTGCTCTGAAATTCCCCTCAAATAGCACACAGCAGCTGCAAGGCTGTGTCTTTTACCGCAGACCTCCAGGTTGTCATAAGGCCCTTGGAAAGATTTCTGAGCCACTTGGAGTACGTACATAGTCTACCAAGTCCTTTGAACTAACCATCTGTGGCAGGCATTGCCTGCTAGTACTGGGGAACCAGCCTTGTGACTCACCTGGCTCACTGCAGCAGGACCTAGTGGTGATGGAGCTTTTGCTCGAGTTATCCACCAATTCTGCTTCGTGTCATCTGAGGGCACAGCCTGGGCACTTGAGAGAACATGACGCCTATGTTCCCAAAGCACACAAACCACCGTGTCAGATCGGATCAGGTCATCCAGCAAAAATAATAAAAGAGAACAACCATGGGAAAATCTGTCCATTGGAGAAATCTTATTCTAAACACCCATCAGGTATTGGGGTGGGTCATGCCCTGAAACGGTGAGGGAAAGTTACACTAAAACGTGGTTGAGAGGGGAAAAGATTGCTTTGGACTAGCCAAAAAAAAAATAAATTCTTTCCAGCAAAAGGAAAAAATTTTAATGGGATGAGTAGTCAGCCTTCTGCAAATTAAAATGAAAGGACACTCCTTAAGGGAAAATTGTTTTAAATAAAACAAAACAAAATAAAAATGTTGTATTTAGAAAATCTAGAACATTGTGTGTTTCCTTAGCTTTCTTTGGTTGCTTTCACTCAAGCTAGTCAGGATTTGCAGAACATGTGATCCATCAGCTACCTAGGCTGTCCATGCTTTTTCTCTCCTTTTTCCTTATTGATTCAGTCCATAGCTGCATATGGTTTCCAGTCATCCTTCTTCTTCTTCTTCAGTCAGTTGCCACTCCAGACATGATTTGTAGAGGATGTGCTAGAGAGAAGGACGCCAAAGATGCCAAAATTAGCCATTTTGCCAATTGAGCAAAATGTGGATAGATCTCCCTATCTTAGGAGCATCAAACTCCTCCTGCATTTACTGCCAGGAGCTACATGCACCCTATGCAAATCTCAGACTGAAGGTAAAAAGTTGCATTGGATTCTTTAACATGTTCTTCACAAACAGACCATCACTTTACTTAAATTCAGTGTTTGGAAGCTTCTTGGCACAGCCATGTCACCACTATCCACGTCAAGACCTCACCCCTAGCCACAAGATGGGCATCCCCTCCTACACATCATGCTGAGGCCCAGCTCACACATCTTGACAGCCTGAGATCAGCTTGGGATCTGAGCAGAGATGCTCGTTGTCCATCACAGGGGAGGAGATGATGGGGAGGGGAGGGCTCGGTGCCTGTCCG